GCAGGGGTCCCAGGAGGGGGCAGTCAGGGGACAAGGAACGGGGGGAGGGTTGGGGGTTCTGAGGTGGGCGGGAAGTGGGAGGGGCAGGGGCGGGGCTAGAGCGGGGCTCCTCCCGTCCTCTTTTTTGCTTGCTGAAATATGGTAACCCTACCTTTTTCCCTCTACATCTTGCTCAGGCCCCTATTTGTCCCTTCCTCTCCTGCTTGCTCCAGCTCCCCATGCCTCCCAGAGTACTTGGATAAAAGCCTGAAAATGACTCGCAGCAGCCCTTTAGCGGCATGGTTGTTGTATGAAGAGTAAGCTTCTGCAGCTTATTCATTTTGTTGTTCGTGGGCAGAGCTGTGATTGGGTTCTAAGAGGAGTAATAGGGGAATCAGGGAAGAGGTGGTTACTAGGGTGTGTTTCCTCAGAGCAGCCAGAGACTGAGCAGCTTTCATGACTTGCCCACGTTTATTTCACGGGATAATCATCTCTCTGCTTTTGCTCTGTGTTTCTTTCCCAGGCTCTCCTGGGATCGCAGCCCAGCCAAAACCATTTGCAGAGTGCAGGTAAGAACAAGAAGTTACTAATTCAATCACCCAGTCAGATTCCTCACTGCCGCAGTGCCCTGAGACTGTGAACAGAATGTAAACTGTTGGCTTGCTCTCATCCTCTGTCTCGTCCCATCGTTGTGCCATTTTCTGTTCTGTTGCACTCTTGGGTTTCTGTTTCTCTCCCTCCCTCACATTTCCAGCCTCATTTTTTCTTCATCTCCAATACTGCTGCAGTTTTCCTTTCATCCCACATTTTCTTTCCCTTTCCTCTCTCTTTGTCTCTTTCACACTGTCTCCTTCTTTAATCTATTTTAATAAATATTGAGGTCTCACCAACCCCTCATCATGGCTTTGTCAGTGAATCCAAGTCAGGCTACAGATCGTCTTCCAAGTGACTCTCTCTAGACATTTATATTGCTTTCTTCACAGTGTATCGGTACCTGCTGATATACACTGCACCACAGCCCGTTCCAGCTGGGCTTGCAAACATCTCTGTTGTTTTCAAGGTCAATGGCACCAGGGCCGGCTCTAGGTTTTTTGCTGCCCCAAGCAAAAAAATGTTGGCTGCCCCCACACCAGCCCCGGGCTCTCCCCCCCCACCCGCACCCCCTGCTGCCCCAACTCTGGGCTCTCCCCCCAACCCCACCCTACCTGCACCGCCTGCCGCCCCAGTGCTGGGCTTCCCCCCACCAGCGCTGACTCCGCCAGCTCTCACCTCCAGCCGGTCCAGCGCTGGCAGGGTCGGGGTAAGCAGCGGGTCTCCCGGGCCGCGCCTCAGCCCAGGGTCCCTCCAGCCGGGGCTCCCGCCTCCAGGACCGGCCGGGACCGGGGAGGACAGAGCAGGGGGACCACCCCTGCAGGGGGCTGAGGAGCCGGGGCAGGGCAGCCCCAGAGGGAGCGGAGCCCCGGAGAGCGGGATGCGGACCCCGCATGGCAGCACCCCGCCCTCTATGGCCCCGCTCCTGCTGCTGCTCCTGGCCGTCCTGGCGCAGTCCCTGAGCGGCTCGGGCTGCTTCGCCCAGCCCCGGCTGGGGGGCGGCTGCCCTGCAGCACCTGCAGGCGGCTCCGTGTGCCCCGAGGGGCAGCCCCCAGCCCGAGTGTCCCGCGCTCGGAGCCCACCCGGCCATAAGGTGTGGGTGCTGCTCCCCGATGCGAACCGCAGCGGCCCCAGGGCGCCCCCAGTGCAGGACGCGCTGCTGCTGCCAGGGCCGGCTCTAGGCTTTTGCCTCCCAAGCGCCAAAAAAAAAAAAAAAGAGACTGGCTGGAATGCCGCCCCTGAAAATGTGCCACCCCAAGCACCTACTTGGTTTGCTGGTGCCTGGAGCTGGCCCTGTATGGCACAGTGTCATTCTTTTGTACACATCAGCTCTTTGTCATACAGGACATATTTATCCTTGCTGTTGCAGAAGGGTTTTCTAAGAGTGTTGGCTTCTGTTTGTTTATTAAATGAATAGAGCTATTATACTGAAATTCATTCCAGGGTCTTCTCCCACATGCTGCGCTTGGAGAGACCTATCTGGTATAGAAAGCCAATTCTGTTTTTCCCTCTCTTATTCCAGATGAATGAAGGAGGATTTCAATCTGTCACAAAAACTACATACTTAATTTACTGACTTTTTTTTCACAGGCAGGAATTTTGGATAAACACTGGTCTGGATTTTTGTGCCTGCTTAGAATGGGTTCTCTGTACTCCCTGGAAGCCCACTGCTTTCAAACAGACAAGCTGCTGTACTCACGTAAATAAAGAACATGCATATAGTGCATGCTGGAATAAGAGTCTCCACATGGGGGACTATAAATTCACTGCCTCCTTTGCAGAATCTGATTTCACAGGGTCCTGAGTATGGCTCAGCTGAAAGATGAAGTGTGGCTTTCAAGTAGGCTTATGTCCAAATGTAGGGCTGTCTTATTCAGGAGTCAGAGTGGGTGGGATGAGAAGTAGTATTAGTGGAGCTTGGGTTCTGCCTACCATCCCAGAGTAGCTGGGAGTCCTCATTAGGGTCCAGAGTTAAGAACATAAGAACGGCCGTACTGGGTCAGACCAAAGGTCCATCTAGCCTAGTATCCTGTCTACCGACAGTGGCCAATGCCAGGTGCCCCAGAGGGAGTGAACCTAACAGGTGATCTCTCTCCTGCCATCCATCTCCACCCTCTGACAAACACAGGCTAGGGACACCATTCCTTACCCATCCTGGCTAATAGCCATTAATGGACTTAACCTCCATGAATTTATCCAGTTCTCTTTTAAACGCTGTTATAGTCCTAGCCTTTGCAACCTCCTCAGGCAAGGAGTTCCACAAGTTGACTGTGCGCTGTGTGAAGAACTTCCTTTTATTTGTTTTAAACCTGCTGCCCATTAATTTCATTTGGTGGCCCCTAGTTCTTGTATTATGGGAATAATACAAGAACTAGTATTATAATACTTTTCCATATCTACTTTCTCCACATCACTCATGATTTTATATACCTCTATCATATCCCCCCTTAGTCTCCTCTTTTCCAAGCTGAAAAGTCCTAGCCTCTTTAATCTCTCCTCATATGAGACCCTTTCGAAACCCCTAATCATTTTAATTGCCCTTCTCTGAACCTTTTCTAATGTCAGTATATCTTTTTTGAGATGAGGAGACCACATCTGTATGCAGTATTCAAGATGTGGGCGTACCATGGATTTATAAAAGGGCAATAATATATTCTCCATCTTATTCTCTATCTCTATCACTCATTTCAGATGATGGGGGAGTTCACAGCTCTCAGTACTATTATTTTTCAGGAAACATTTGATCAGATCACATTTACAAGGCTTTCTTCACAACCCCAGGGCAGAGAATCTTGATTTGTAAAAGAAAATGAAGGTTCAATGTTGCAGAAATGGAAGGAGCCAGCAGAAGAGGTCTGTTATGTGACACATACTGGCTTTATCCAAGCCCTTCTTGGCAGCAAGCCATCCTGAAAGCTTCCTTTCTGTCTCCAGGGTCCGGCTTGTGTGGCGTTGGGCCCCTCGGGTATTACAATGGCTTGTTGGCATTCACTGAGTCTGGGTCAGAATGTTTGAATTGGGCAGAGTTCCCTGATTATGTCCAGCAGTACCCAGACCGGGGCTTAGGGAACCACAACTACTGCAGAAATCCAGACATGGGAGCCACGCCTTGGTGCTTCTACCGGCTTGCTTCTGGAGCAATTGGCTGGGCCAGTTGTGACTGTAACAAGGGTAAGTACCCCTCAGCATCGCTGTTGGGGTCTTGGCTGCGTGCTCTCAGACCTTACCCATGGGCGGGCGGGGGGTGAGGGGAGAGGGGCGGTGGAGGTGCCAAGATGCATACAGCATGGTGTTGGACCCAGAGCGATGAGCACAGCACAATAGTTGGTCAGAATTTTCAGAAAAGTTTGGCTTCAGTTTAGGCCACTAACCAAGGACTTGTCTCAATGAGAAAATTATACAGGTCTAAGGTGAGGTGTGAATTTATAACCCCAGTGTGGACACTCTTATGCCAGTATAAAAGCATCTTTCTCCGCTTAGCTTAAACTGCTTCCAAAGCGACATAAGCTACAGTCAAAAGAAGCCACTCTTAGGCTTGGTCCACACTAGGAAGTTAGGTAGCTATAAATATGTTGCTTAGGGGTGTGAAAAATCCACCCCCCTGAATAACGCAGTTGAACCGACCTAAACCCCGGTGTAGACAGCGCTAGGTTGATGGAGAATTCCCTCGTTAACCTAGCTATGGTCTCTCGGGGAGGTGGATTACCGACGCCGACGGGAGAACCTCTCCTGTTGGGGTAAGTAGCATCTTCACTGACACTCTACAGTGGTGGTGCTGCAGCATTTTAAGTATAGACACGCCCTTGTTCTGGAGTCTGAGGCTATGTCTACACTATGGACCTTACAGCAGCACAGCTGTACCACTGTAAGGTCTCCCCTCTCTTTGTCAGCAGAAGAAAGCATAGGCACTGGAACTAGAGATGCTGCTGCACCGCCTGGCTTGAAGTGGTTTCCATCATATCCAGGGTTTACAGTTTGGTTTAATGATTCTCAGCACCCCCACTATACAAATTGTTCCAGCAGCCCTGGGAGAGAACTCTCCTGCCAACATAATTAAACCACCCCCAACAAGCAGCATTAGCTACATCGGCAGGAGAGCCTCTCCTGCCGACACAGCGCTATCCACACCTGCACTTTTGTCGATGAAACTTATGTTGGTCAGGGGGACGTTTTTTCACACCCCTGACCGACAAAAGTGCCAGTGTAGACAAAGCCTGAGTGTCCACATGGGAGCTATACCAGTATAACTATAGCAGTTTAACTCTGGGTATGTCTACACTTAAAGTGCTACAGAGGCGCAGCTTCAATGTAGACACTCATTACAGTGATGGGAGGGGTTCTCCCATCGCTGTAGTTAATCCACGTCCCTGAGAGGTGGTAGCTAGGTTGACGGAAGATTTCCTAGGAGTTAAGTTAGCATAGCTATGTCTGTGTGGATTGTTCACCCCCCTTAGAAACATAACTATGCCAATGAAAGGTCCTAGTGGAGATCAGCTCTACAGCAGTGTAATTATACTGGTGTAACTATAGCAGTGTATGGAAGAAATATCTAGAAGCTGGCCTTTTGTGAAAATCTGGCTATTAGTGTCACAAGGGAAGCCCATTATTTCAGTGCCTAAATGAGAGCTGAGCCCTTTAGAAAATCTGGCCCCAGTTGTGGGTGCCGAGTCCTTGAACATTTGGCCTCACAGCCTTATTTGCATTGTGTTAAGAAACAGTATTTCAACCCCTTTTTAAAAATACCATTTTAACAAAACGAGGCTCCACCTTCTCCCGCCAGCACAAACACTTTCAAATATGGCTTCCTCCAAAGTAGAGGTGCCTCGTGTGGGTGGGGCCTATGCCTGCCCCTCCCTCCTGTGTCACTTTCTTTTTCCTCAAAGTCATTTCTATTTGAGGCCAGCAGGGTATAGCTGTGTGTTTCTGTCCCAGTGCTCAAAGCATGTGGGTGGGGTGGGGTGGGGTGAGGTGGGGGTGGAGGGCAGGCCCTTCCCAGTAACTCTCAGTGGGGTGAGGAGCTCTCCAGGTGTTGATGGAGATCTGTTCTATTGTAGCAATTTAAAGGGAGTGAATTCCTGCCTCCCCCTTTTCCTGGTGCAATCGCAGAGGAACAGCCCATTGTTACTGGCCCTCTAGTCATACCGCTTCCTGTGGGGCCACTGACCTTGGGGACAGTCTAGTGCACATTCAAAATTCCTGATTGGTTACACAATCAAGTGTCTCAG